TTTCTTTCTTTCTTTCTTTCTTTCTTTCTTCCTTCCTTCCTTCCTTCCTTCCTTCCTTCCTTCCTTCCTTTCTTTCTTTCTTTCTTTCTTTTTTTTTGGAGCTGAGGATTGAATCCAGGGCCTTGCACTTACTAGGCAAGCACTCTACCACTGAGCTAAATCCCCAGTCCGGAAGCACATTTCTAAATGGTTATTTAAAAATGAGATGAATGGGTCAGGCGGTGGTGGCGCACGCCTTTAATCTCAGCACTCGGGAGGCAGAGGCAGGCGGATCTCTGTGAGTTCAAGGCCAGCCTGGTCTACAGAGTGAGATCCAGGACAGGCACCAAAGCTACACAGAGAGGCCCTGTCTGTGAGGGAGGGGGTTGTCGGGGGTGGGGGGAGACGAATGAGTGCCAGCCAGATGGCTCAGTGGGTGAAGGTGCCTGCTGCCAAGTCTGATGACCTGGGTTTGATCCCTGGGACGCACACGGTGGAAAGAAAGGACACACTCCCATAAGGTGGCTTCAGACCTCCAAACTCACTCTGTCACACATGTGTACCCAGACACATACACATCAATGGGCAAAACCAACAAATAACCATGTAATTAAAATATAAAACAACTAAGGTGAATTAAACACATATGAATAGAGGTAAAACCAAAGGTCATGAGCAGAGCTCCTGCCACTGCCCTGTGCCACCCCCGCCCCCAGGCATCCAGCTGCGCATCCCTGTCAAAGGGTGATTCCGCCAGGAGCAACCCAGCAGCTGTCGCTACCACGTAAGTTAGGAGCAGACGGCAAGTGAGGGGGCAGGAAAGAAGGGCACCTCCCCAAAACCGGGGAGCCTGGACTAAGAACTTTCCCACAGCTTCCAGCTCCATAAGAAGTGGGGAATGCCAGAGCCACGCCTGCTGGGAGTCTTGAGAGTCACCGCTCAAGGAGCCAGGAATAGTTTACTAAGATAGAAAACAAGAACGGAGTCTTTGGCAGACAGTTTATGTGGAGCTGCGGGCAGCGTGCACGCTAGGTCCATGTACCTAAGATAACTGTTGGGCCTCCTTACCAGTGCCAAACGTGTGTCTACGCAGATGACAGTGTGTGGAAAGCGGTGCCTTTGATTCTTGCCCAGCTGTGGATAACGTGAAACTCGTCTACCAACCTGCGTCTGAGTGGTGTCAGGTTCCTAGCGAGGCCACAGACTCATGGCAAGGGGGAAGAAGAACAGCAGAAAGAAAGTCTGGGCCTTAATATTGACTGTCAATTGAAGAGACCTGGAATCACCTCGAGCACAAACCTCTGGACATGTCTGTCAGGGAGTTTCTGGACTGGACTAAATGAGAGGGGAGGACACATCCTATCTGTGGGCAGCACCATGCGGTGGGCTGGGGTCCTGGGTTGAATAAAAAGGAGAAAACGAGCTGAGCATCGATCATCTCTCTGCTTCCTGACCATGGATTCTGAGTGACCCGCTGCCCCATGCTCCAGCTGCCTTCCACTTCATGAGGGATCCCTCTCAAGTTCTGAGCCAGAATTATCTCATCTCTCCCTAGCTGCGCAAGAAAATGCTATCTTCCCATCCCAGAGGGCCCTGCCTCCTGAAGCTCCACTACATCCCCTTGCCTGGTGGCTCCCTGTGTGTGGCCTAGACTCTAGCTTTCTCAGCTTCCTGGACATCTTGGACCTTTCTTTCCAAGGGCCTGCCTAGAATTCCCTAAACTGAACCTATAGGCCCATCTTTTCAATGACTCAGAATCATGTTGGGGTTTTAAAAACTTTGCTCTCACAAAGAGGGTAAAGTAATGAGCAGGCAGGCCTCAGCTTTTCCTCTGGAAAAATGCAGTCAAATGACCCCAAAGGCATCAGGAGTGGTCCAGATGCAAAGTGACAACAGGAGGTCACACATCTTTTTAGAACTGCCTGAAACCCCTCAGGGACACACAGAGCTGTGCGTGGAGCGACTGCCACTCCCTAGCCATGTCCAAATGTCACGTGTAGAAAGGGTTTGGGATAGGGAAGCTTTGAAGGTATAGGTTAAGCCAGATGTGGTAGTGCACACCAGTGATCCCAGCACTCAAGAGGATCTCTGAAACTAGACCGGACTACATATTGACACCATGTCTTAAAAAGAAAATAAACTGCTTTAGAGCAACTGAGGGGAAGCTGGGAATCGAACATGAGACCTACAACAATGGCAGTCACAGAAGGGAAACTCAGCTGCCAGTGAGTCACCTGCTTCACTGAAGATTACATACAGTCACAGAAATAGTTCATGGCAGATTCATGAGGAAACACTGGGTTGTCAAGAGCGCGTCTCTCTTATCTCCCAGGTTCACATCCGGAAGGGTTAATGTGCACAGCCTCACAAGCGGCTCTCCTGCGTTCCCATCAACAGACTGTCACCGCCCTGAGCTGAATGCTGACTCAGGCACCACACTTCTCACATATGGGGAACAAGGGCCTGCTATTGGAAAACTATTTTGGTGGGTTCAAAGCCAGCCTGGTCTATACAGGGAGGCCCTGCCCAAAAAACAAAACCCCACTGCCAAAATGCCCTCCTCCTGGAAAACAGGCAAAATAGATGCCCCCTCTCCTGAGAATTAGTAAAATCAGCAAACATCAAGATGCAGATATGCAAAGTCACTCCAGCAAGAACAGCCAGTCTGAGCAGGCCAGCTGGAAGATAGGCAAATCTGAGGAGAAACTGCCTGTCAACACGCAAGCTCTCCCACAGTCGGAAGAGACTCACTATGACCTGTCCCAAGGAAAGGTAGATCCAGACACTGACCCACACCCCGGGACAGGCGACCTGAGCCTTCTTCCGGAATGAACTTGTCTGCACCGTGTTCTAACTCTGGCACATGCTCGCTTCCCTGGGGAAGTCACATGTGAGTGACTCACCCACTCGCTCCGCTGGAACACAGTTTCATTTTACATCCCACAAGGACAGATTTAACTTCCGGTCTTCAGGGGTAGTGAAGGGTGTGAGCAGGCACCACCCAAGGAGGAAGGCTCTCAAAGCTGCCAACGACGTGGCAACAGAGACTGTCTACTCTTTCTTGGAACTTCCTTCCTTCGTGAGACAAGTTTCACTGGAGTGATGGGTTTGGAGATGGGGATGCAGGCATTTCCAAACCTTTACTCAGAGACAGGATATATAAGGTATGTGAAAGTGAATTTAGAAACAAACCTGCACTGAGTAAAATCTACAGGACATCGCTGTTCCAGACTGAAAGCCCCAGCACGGGGTGCCCACAGACTTTGATGGAGTCCCCGGTGCTAATGCCTCTCAAGCAGACCGAAACTTTAACAAACAGGAAAACTGGGATAAGGAGGCCGCTCCGTGGACAAAGGGTTTGTCATGCAAGCCTGAAGACTGGAGTTTAGACCCAGAACCCACACAAAAGTCCTGTAAGCATGGCAGTCTGTCTGTAATCCTAGCTCTCTGGAGGGAGGGAGGGATGTAGAGAGGGGGAGAGATCCTCAATAAATAAAGTGGAGAGCAATTGAGTAAACATTTCAGGTCTCTGCACACGTTTTGTCTAAAACTTGTACAGGAATAGCAGCATGGGAAACGACAGTATCAACCCATAACCTCCCGGGCACATATTTCACATACAGTTTACACTATCTGAGCTAACAGATTGAGAAGCGATTATTTTATATATGACTTACACCATCCCCACCCTTTCTCCACCCTTCTCTCGTTTTTTTATCAAAGTATGGACTCTATTCCAATGGCTCCTTTATCTAAACAGCAGAGGGAGGAGTTGGGGACATTGATCACTCGGGCCTCTACAGTCCCGGAACTAACGCTCCTGGCTGCCTGGGGAGTCTTCATCATCATCTTCATCTTCTCAGACAAAGCTGAGGCTTTAGGTCAAAAGCCAGCTCATGACCAGTCTAGGATAAAAGCCTCACTTCGTTCTTTTTTGTTTTGGGTTTTTGTTTCCTTTGTTGTTTTTATTTGTTTGTAAGGAGTGGGAGGTAGGTATCTCATTTTATAGCTTAGGCTAACACAGAATTCACTACATAATCCAGACTGTTCTAAAACTCGCCACAATTTTGCTTCAGCCTTCTAAGTTCTGGGGTCTCAGGCATGAGCAATCGAGCCCAGCTTCCTCTGTCCTGTTTGAAATATTTCAAATCGATTGCAATGCCACAAGAGCAAAAACTGACTAAGTTCTGTGCTGTATTAAGAAGCAAAGTTAAAAATCTACATTTTACTAAAACAAAAAGAGCCCACATGGCCTAGGTGGCTGGCAGGGAAACTGGTTGGGCCCTGCCTGTTTAGCTCAATCCTCACCTTGTTAAATGTCTTGCCTCAGTTTCCCCAGGCATAAGCTTCAAGCTTTATAAATGTAGCTGGTGACACCGATTCTTAGGCCGGCATTCACCAGCGCTGTGGAGTCTTCTCTTTCCCTCCCCACCCCTTTCTCAACAGCCCTCAACAATGCTTAAGGACTGGAGACCTTTGGGGTTCTGATTGGCTGCATCATTTTGTTGTTGATGGTTGTGAGATTTTGGTGTGGTGGAGGCAGAGGCAGGCAGATCTACATGAGTTTGGTGTTGTGAAATATTTAACTATGTAAAGATGTGTTACATTATGCTACAGAATATTTACTCTAACTGTGTAAAGGTGTGTTACTTTTTATGTTGCATTTGTTTAATGATATAAGGATGTGTGTTTAATTACGTTTCACCTTGCCTGCCTAAGGCACCTTATTTGTCTAATAAAAAGCTAAACAGCCAGTAGCTAGTCAGCAGAGGGATAGGCAGGGATGGCAGGCAGAGAGAATAAGTAGGAGGAGAAAGCTAGGCTTGAGAAGAATGAGGAAGAAGAGAGGAGAGAACGAGAGAGAAAGTGAGGGGCATACCTGGGGCCAAAGCTGGCAGCTGCCAGGCAGCCAGACAGACGGACAAGAGAAGCAGTGGAAATAAGATGTATAAAAGGAAGAAAGGAAAAAGTCCTGAGGCAAATGTAGATGAAGAGAAACAGGTTTAAAGAGGTAGCCGGAAACGAGCCTAAGTTAGGCTGAGCATTCATAATTAATAAAAAGTCTCCATTTCGTGATATGGAAACTGGTTAGTGGCCCAAACGAAAAGGCCTGGTACAGTTCAATGCCAGCCTGGTCTATAGAGGGAGTTCCAGGACAGCCCCGGTTACACAGAGAAACTCTGTCTTAAAAAACAAACAAACAAAAACTGTTCTACCTTTTAACTTGCAGAGAAAGCTGATTCACTCCCTCTCCAGCCGGGGGCAAGAGGAACACAGAGTGGACTTTCCGAGACGGACCAGAGTCTCACTGAGGTGTCCTGAGCACCCGGTCACTCTGTCCACAGCAGCTGGATGGACACCTGCTCCGTGCACACTTTCATTCTACTCCTACACCCTTCAGAATGGAGGATTACCACCCATGCCTGTCTGTTCAAGAACAATCTATCATCAAAACTCCTGCAGGCCACTGAGAGCTACCTCACTACACTTGCTGGGGAGGACTCTCCAGCCTTCCCCAGCGTCATCACCAGCTTCCAGCTGCCCTCAATCCCAGGAAGCAGTCTTGTTCCTCCACAGCAGCTTCCTTACTGTTGAGAGGCTTGAAGCATCAGGAAAGCTGAGCTTACGGTCCATACCCCGCTCTCTGCAGCAAGAGGGAGTTTATTTTTAAATAAATATTGACCCTTGAGTTGCATTAAGTAACAGATATTTTATCAAGACTGTCTCATCTGTCCCTCTCATCTAGAGAAGTGGGTGTCATCCTGTACACTGTAGGGAAATCAAGCATGGGGTGCCAGGTCACTTGCGTGAGAGTGATGGGTTGCTCATTCAGATCCCATGTTCTCTGTGTCACACCATGCCAATACATGAGTGTGCACACATGTAAATTAAGTCTAAAGGCAGATGACAATTCCAGAAGCTTTCAAAATAATAACGCAGTGCAAACTTTTAAGTTGTTAGGGCTAGAGAGATGGCTCAGCAGCTAAGAGCTTGGATTGCTCTTGCAGAGGACCCAAATTTGGTTCCCAGCACCCATGTTAGAAAGTTTACAACTGCCTGTAACTCCAGCTCCAGGGAATCTGACACCTCTGGCCTCCACGGGCATCTGCAGTCAAATGTACACACACCCCACCCCCACCCCAGCAAAATGAATACACATAATCCAAAATGTAAAAAAATCCTTTAAAACCCTAAAATTTTAAATCGACATGTTTCTTGCTTAATCAGTGGCTTTCTTGTTTTTCCTCTTTAACAAACTGGATGCGAAAGCTAAAACAACTAAAAAATACTCTTCCCAGATGAGTTGGCTGAGACTGGAGTATACTTAATCTGGCAGAGGGCTGGCTGCTAGTCAAAAGCAAAAACTGGTGCCGTGCAAATCCAGAAACACATTTCTAACTGCTGCACCTCTGTCTAGGCTCAGCCATCCAGCCTTTGGGATAATGCCCGTTGGAGCTGACAGGTGGTCAGCAGCATGCCATCTCCAGATGAAGCCACAGGATTCCAACAGGCACATTATGTGCCCGCCTTAGAACAGAACAGGGCCTGGCATCCTGCGAATGCAAGTGGGAAGGCCATGGCTGGGCCAACCATAATTCGAAAATGCTAGACACATAGCCACATCCATAGTCACAGGAGTACCCATAGTACTCAGGAAGCTGATGCAGGAGGATGGAAAGTTTGAGGCAGCTGAGTTACAAAACAAGACCTTAGTATGTGTCACACACACACACACACACACACAGTGCTGTTGGCTCCAGCAACTCATTGGGGAATGATATGATTGATTAGTCTGAATCCAGAGTCTGAGGGGGTTAGACAGTGAGCTCACCAGTTGTTTACCCTGCAGTTTGAAGAGCATCCAGCAGGCACCAGCAGGAGAGTGAGGAGCACCAGAAATAGCTCTTCTGGGTTTTGCTATGAACTGAAAGTACCAGGGGCATTCATGCAAAGCCTCTGACGAGGCAAAGTAATGATACGATTTTTCCAGCTCAGATAGTGGTTGCTTTAAGTTATCATGGCAGTGACCTCCAGGCTTAAAACACAACCCTTTTGTTGCTCAGTTAGAACTGGTTTTCTTTATTTCAGATCAAACTGCCAAGCACACCACAGCTGAGAAAATGATGAGTGTATACAAAGGAGACAGGAATTCAGGGCTGGAGGGACGGCTCAGCTCTTTAAGAGCACTTGCCTTTGCCGAGGACCTGGGTTCTGTTCCCAGCACACGCATGGTGGCTACAACCGCTTGTAACTCTAGTTCCAGGGGATTCAGTGCCCTCCTCTGTTCTCTGTGGGCACTGCATGAATGTGGTACACATATGCGCATGTTGATAAAAACATCTATTCATACAGAGAAACCCTGTCTCGGGGGGAGGAAAAAAATCTACACAGACAAAATAAAAACAAATAAATCTTTTGTTTGTTCATCTTTTTGAGACATGATCTCATTGTGTAACTCTGGCTATCCTGGAACTCTGTGTGTAGATCAGGCTGGCCTCCAACTCACAGAAATCCTCCTGCCTCTACTTCCTAAGTGCTGAGATCAAAGGCATGTGCCACCATACCCAGCTAATAAATCTTTTGAAAAAGGAAACAGGAATCGAAATGGGGGGAGGGTCCCATAGAAAATGTATTCCTGCCAGGGTTGGATTATTGATGCTCTTTAGGGAGTATCCGGCACACCCTGAGTTGCAGATAGTCAACAGTCTCATCCACAGTACCTGCTGACCACCTGGTAGCCGCTTAAAGGTTCTCTGTGCCGTCTCACCGTGGGCAGCCGGGTATACCCTTCAACAAGAGAACCTGTGTCATCCTGATGAGAAGTAGCTGGGGGAAGTCCAGGTCCAAGGGCAGCAAAGCCAGCTTCCCAGCTTAGTTGAAAATTTCCCATCATAGCCACTCAGAACAGAGATGTCTCTTTAAATCTCATGCTTTCCTCTCTCCAAAATAAAGTGAGTGGAGTCCTGTGGACCATTTGTTCTAATAATCTTTATATACATACTTCCTAGCTATGAAGTCTGGGCCAAGGTACAGTTTCTCAGATCTCAATATCTCGTGGGCTACATAGAATCAATAGCAAGATCTCGTGATACAAAGAATAATCAAGTTATTACTCCAAATATTTAGAATGGTAAACTCACGATGAACCTAACAACGCTTATCTATTCCCTTTATTACTATTTGTTCCAGAATAATCAGGGCCCATATATAAGAACCAGCTCTATACCACAGTGAGACCAAATGAAAACGGTCTAGGATTGTTCGGAGTGAAACTTATTGGGGACTTAGTGATAGAAGAGATGTTTCCCTTACCCACCAGGAGCAAGACCAGGTTGATCTTGTGTCAGAAAGACATTAGGATAAAAGTGACTTCATCCAAGCCAGAAGGCACCTACATCACCTCAAGTGAAACTCAAAGAGACAGGATAGTCCTGGCCCCAGAGTCTGGCAGTGAGTCCCACCATCACTTTAAAGTTTGTTTGGAGTAAGCTAGGCAGCCATGTGGGAAGGAGGGGTTGGAGACCAACCAGAGCTACTCAGGGGCAATCATGGCGGTTTAATGCAAGATGGCTGCTGTCAGGCCAAGGTAAGTCTGCAGGTGATTCTCTCCAAATAACCTTTCCCCACATCTCTAAAGTCTAGCATTATCCACTCATGGCTTACCAGGTACAGATAGTGCTGTGGTCTTACAAGATGAAATGAGTTCTGTGAATGAATAGTAGTGAAGGCTGTAAAAATAATGTGAATATACACTTCAGTATGGTAACTAATTTATCTTATGTGTATTTTACCTCAATATTTTTGTGTATGTGTATGTGCACATACATGTCTTTTTGGGAGCATACATGTATGTAGGCATGTGTACATGTGTGCTCATGTGAGTGTGGAGGTCAAAGGTCAACTTTAGGTGTCATTTCTCCTTAAGCACCTTGTCTTTTGAGACAGGGTTTCTCACTGGCCTGGAGCTTGACAAGTACACACCACCACGCCCAGCTGATTTGCCTGGATTCAAAGGCTCAAACTTGGGTCTTCTTGCTTGGGTACCAACTGAGCCATCTCTCCATTCCCTTAAGAATGTGTCCTTTTAAAGGTCCTCTTTAAAAATCCTTTGTAAAAATCCCTAGTCACTTAAAATCATGAATATTATGCCTCAATAAAGTAACATTCAATTTTACAGCCCAAGACACGGCAATCGCCTCTGGGGAACACGTTGCTCTCCCTTTCACTTATCAGCACCCACTCTAACACAAATGAAATCCAAAAGCCCATATGGTCCTCCCACAGCATCATGGGTAACATCGTGTCTCCTCAGCGTAACAACCACTTAAAGAAAGACTGTCCACAACTAAGCTCTTTCATAAGGTTCCATGTTTCTTGACCAATCCAGGATGATTTTGGAATCAAAAGCCCTCAAGGAAATGTGGAAGGTCCCTTGGTTCCATGCCCCTCCTTCAGGAAGACTGTAAGCAAACTATTCTGGGCACGTGGAAATCTCATGCAGGAACCTCAGCTGGCTGGTTCTAGTTCTTTCTGTCACCAGAGACTCTCATATACTATCTGTACATGCACCAAACTGGGTGTGCCTCGTGGATCGAAGACCACAGTCCATCATATGCCAAGACCAAGATTCCAAAGCTGCTTGGGGTCTCCTTTCATTCTAGCAATCTGAAGTCTTAGGCTCAACACAAGGGCACCTCAACAGAGAAAGGTGGGGTTTTTTGTTGTTGTTGTTTTGTTTTGTTTTTAATTTAGACACAGTCTTTCTACATATCCTGGCTATCCTAGAATTCACTATGTAGACCAGGCTAGCCTCAGACTCACAGAGATCCACCTGCCTCTGCCTCCTGAGTACTAAGACTAAAGGCATGCATCACCATGCCCAGCTCAGATACCTGACTCTTGAATGCTCTTTCCCTAAGAGATTAAAATCTTTCCATCTTTCTTTACAAAATCCTGGTGACACAGGATAATAGAACAGTTTGCATCCAAATAAGAGAGTGGGGTGCAGGGGGTTTGAAGAAAAGGGAGCCCTATGCAATGGGGCTACAGATGTCCATCGGTTCAGCAGTCATGGGAAGTGGCATGGAGGGTCCTTAAAATTGCTAAAATTAGGGCTGGTAAAGGCACTTGCTTCCAAGCCCTATAACCCAGGTTCAAGCCTTAGAATCCACATAGTGGACGGAGAGAATTGACATGCAAAGGTTGTCCTCTGGCCTTAATATGTAGAGTGGCATGTACTCCCCCCACCCCCCCCAAAAAAAAAAAACTCAAAGAAAATGCAAATTCAAGACCAGCCTGGTTTACAGAGTGAGTTCCAGGACAGCCAGGGTTATACAGAGAAACCTTGTCTCGAAAAGCCAAAACAATAACAACAAAAAAGCAGAGTTATATTATGATCTAACCTCATACTCATTTCCAATCTTTCGGGTCAATACCTTTCTGGGTATTGACCCGAAAGATTGGAAATGAGTATGTTGAACAGAAGTCTGCACCTGGAAAGATTGGAAATGAGTTTGTTGAACAGAAGTCTGCACCTGGAAAGATTGGAAATGAGTATGTTGAACAGAAGTCTGCACCTGAGTTACCAGCAGACCGCTCACCACAGCGGATGACAGAATCAACCTAAGTGTCCATTAGCAGGTGAACGGACAAAGAAAAGTGGTAAATTCGTACCTGGGATGCTTTTTACCTTTAA